GTCTATACACTAAAAAATTACACAAAACAAAAGCAAACGGAGAATATGAGAACAAAGGATAGAGAAAGAGAACTGAGTAAAAGACGAGACATTGACGGATACAGACTACAGGTCGTTCAACTCACAGTCGAGCAAGAAAGAGCCATCGATGTATATAACTCTACATTATACATCGATTTATTATACATAATAAATTATACATCGGGAGTTATTATACATCGATGGAAAGAGCAAGGCTGCGTGAAATCCGACGTGATTGGGAACATAATGTCGTCAATCGTGATACCTCATAGTAAGCTAACACATTACACCTTCATTATGACCACTGAGGAAATGTTTTAGTCATGTTGAAATTCGCGTTCACTGATTCGAGTTCAGATTGGATCAAAACAGAGAAGTCCGCCGCGATACAACTGGATGACCAATGAATGAATGAGGGAAGCGTTGTTCTTGTTCTGATTCTTTAGTCATGATCATTACAGCAGAATGATCAAGGGCAGTTGGGTTTAGTTACAAACGAGTGGTCTTGTAGATTGTAACTACACATAAAGTTAACGATGCTTTGTTAGAGCTAAACGCACTAGGTAGTGCACGCAAAGGGTAATCTTAAAGATATAGATTTTGTATTATTATGGATCGAAGATAATTTAATTTAAGGTATGTTTCTATTCGGTGTTAAGATTCAGCATCCAATTTACTTCTTGCCATATCAAGTATACTTGCACAACTCCAAGTCAATGCATGGGTGTTTAACGTTAATTTAATGTAAAATGAGTATTTGTAAAGACTAGAAGGAAATTTTAAATAAAAAATGAATAAGATGTAAAGGTAACGAATAAGTGAACTCTATAGCAAACACGAAATATGCCAAAATATCCTAGCCAAATAGTCAGTAACTGATATCCTGATTTATAGCAAACACGAAATATCCCAAAATATCCTAGCCAAATAGTCAGCAACTGATATCCTGATTTATGGCAAACACGAAATATCCCAAAATATCCTAACCAAATAGTCAGTAACTGATATCCTGATTTATATCAAACACGAAATATCCCAAAATATCCTAGCCAAATAGTCAGTAACTGATATCTTGATTTATAGCAAACACTAAATATCCCAAAATATCCTAGCCAAATAGTCAGTAACTGATGATATCCTGTAATCAGAAACAGACGAAAGATTCAAAACTGACAGTACATTTACAGTGGTAACAGTATACTGTGAAGTAAACACTAAATAGCAACTAAATAAGCAACACTTGCCGTTATCTATCAGGTGGTAATTGATAAGGCTTATCACAAGTGATAACATATCAGGAGGAGGGGAGACATGAATCACGACAAATATTAGTGAAGCCATTAGGTTACGTCGATATAAGAAATCATCACAATAATTTAATACATATATTTTATTTGAAGAGATTAGTTTTACGCGCTTTAGGCGATTTACGATTGATTGTATTGGCACTCTAAAGGTTGAATAAATGATTTGGAACTTTTCATTATTTGGCCACTGTATTCTTGAATAGATGAGAAAAAAGCATGACTCATATAAACTGACATGTTATTTAAACTGGCCATCTTTTCGATTTAAAAATATCAAACCGATATAATTCAGGGCATGCCAATGAATTTAAATAAGCACTGTATTGAAAAACGACAATATTATACCTACTTACAGGCAATGTTGGAACGATGAATATTTTGACTGACTAAATGAATAAAGTTCATTTTGGCTAAGTAAATAATGTTATAGTAGGTTATTTTCTTATTCATAAAGGACAACTCGTCATTACAATTTCGAATTGTCATGAAGTGGTAAAATCGTGCTTACTGATCTGAAGTAGCCATAGTCCTAGGCCTAATACTGTAGTGAAGTAAGAAAATTCACTAAACACTATAGGTCTCGCCACCCTAAGTTGAGGCAGCCCAGACGGACGGGCAGGGTCATTATCGGCCGGTCCCGCCCGACCCTTTATAATCCGATTAGTGACACTTCCGTGAACGCTCTAGTTCCATAATTGTCATTAACAAAGTTAAAAACCGATGTATAAATTTAGTCTTTTACATTAATAACGTCGATTTAACAAACATTTCCGTTTTTGTCCCATCAAAATCGGACAATGTTTACGGTTTGTGAGCTATAAACAAAAAACAAAGTAGTGTAGATCCCAAAATCCAAAAACCGTAAACATTGTCCGATTTTGATGGGACAAAAACGGAAATGTTTGTTAAATCGACGTTATTAATGTAAAAGACTAAATTTATACATCGGTTTTTAACTTTGTTAATGACAATTATGGAACTAGAGCGTTCACGGAAGTGTCACTAATCGGATTATAAAGGGTCGGGCGGGACCGGCCGATAATGACCCTGCCCGTCCGTCTGGGCTGCCTCAACTTTTAGGGTGGCGAGACCTATAGAAGTAGTGGTGAAATTGTTCTTGGAAATACCCATACCTATAACATTATTACTTTCAACACATTTTGGTTGTTTTATTATTGTGCGGTCACACTCAACAACGTCTCAAATCCTAGAACTCTACTATTATCCAACACCGGCAAACAAAGGAATCTGGCGTTGACAAGGTAAGTGGTGAAAACGTAATTTTTTACTCGGCTGACATAATATGATCGGCGCCATATTTCTTTTCTGCAACAACAATAACCCATTAGTTCCGGGGAATCAACAAGATGGCGACAAATGTCAGCTGATCTTTGTGAGACGAAATGTCAGCTGGTCGATCAGTGCGTTGCTCTCACAACTATCTGGTATCACTGACCTTCACAAAAACACCGTGAAATTTTTGATTGTTGAATTTATTCGTAAGACCTAAACATAGAACTGTGTTATCTAAAAATATTGAGTAAATTTGAACACATAACCATTGCCTACTGAACAAATTCGAATTCTAACCGCTCATCTTTTATTGATTCATTCTCAATCAGTGTGTTAAAATTGTCTATCTTGATCAAACTAATTTACCAAATCAATAGTTTTATATTTCGAAAATTTTGCAGCACCAATATCCATCAATATTCACCAATTTTGCCATATGAAGTGATGGTTGTTTATTCTTCTATTGTACTTAACCTTAGAATAAAAAATTGTTGTACTTTCAGTCTGTAGATACCAACAGGTATTCAAGTAGAAAATTAATTGTAGAATTTAAAACTTTCAAACAATTGACAAATAGGCTAGGTTTAGGTCCTTCAGTAACATTTTTTTATATATATTGAAATTTACGGCTTTGAATGATTTATAATATTAAATTAATCTATTTCACCATTAGTGAAACATTAATCTAACTATAGGGACATCTATTGAATTGTACCAACAATTTGACGAAACTTTGATATCCGACTCCATCGGATTATCGAATTTAAAGTATCAATTCGATCAAAAACCAAACCAGAATTTTTAACTATTGTGACTGTGGATAATACGAAAAGGTCGAACATTTTGGCCAATTATTGGATCAATATTAGATCTGATCTAGTTGGTCAACAACTGGACATTGCGTGAGCGCAACCGGAAGTACAACAATCGATAAAACGCGTCCTTCGTCGCCATTGGCCGATATCTCACATCCGGCTACGAACTGTACCAATTGCATTGAATATTGCATTCTTTGTTTTGAATGAAAAAATACTCTCAATAAATATGTGGCGTAATATCGTATGTTTAATCAATGGGCGTTTAAAGCAGGGAACGACCATTGCCTTCAGAGGTGGCTATGGTACGACATCGCGTAAGTTTTTAATAAATTATCACATAAAATATTGAATGTTATTATAATACTATAATTTTGTAAATGGCGATTGCCGTAGAAATAAATAAATACTGCATCTTTTGCGGTATCTTACCAACTATTCATAATAATTAATGGCCTATCAATGTTCCAAACATTTCTTGGATGATAACGCTCATCAGAATATGTTTTTTAAGTTAATAATGGTATTTTCAATATTGATGGAGACGACATTGAAGGAATTTTAACGTAAATATGAATTAAAGTAATGGAGTGCGATGATTAGTGCAGATTTGTTGTTTACTGGGATGTTCTCTATCCAAAACCACAGCCGTCCAAAATTCCCACAAATGTTGAATACTTGTTTACACATTAGCAAACTACACTTTCATTTCATCATTAATTCAATGTATAAATGAGATACACATCCCTAAGAGAAAGCTGAGTTGAAAAGATCCTGTCTTTTACAACGCCAAAGAATGAGATCTGTCTCTTTGATACAATGGCAAGGTACACTTCCTGCTGAAGGTCGGGGCAGAGCTACCTGGCGTTCAAAAGAGGGTTGGGGCGGAGGAGTATCTATTTTGTAGCAGAGCCTTTTCTTTTGTCGTCTGCCGACGGTCGACAGGTGAGCTAGGAAGGGTGTCTGAGGAAGACGACGCTTGGGGACGAATATAACAGGGGGAGATAAAAAGTCAGCACTACTTTTGAAAATCATTTTAAATGAATTGTTAAATAAATACTGAGTTATGTTAACAACGATATCCGGACATTAACGTAACGGTTTGTGATAAACATGTTAGATGGTACAAATATCGCTTCCAGAAGCTAGAAATCCCCCTGAAAACCCCCCAATCCTAAGATTAGGTATACTTCTAGGTAAAAAGTTAGTAAAGTATGATGTTATATCACGTTTCCGAACTCCGAGTAACATGTCAACGATAAAATTTGTTGTACAGTACAGTAGTATGCTACCTCCTCGGACAATTTAAATCATTAAACATACCAAATACAATTTAAGGTTACAAATTAACTAGGTAAATAAACAATGATCACGGTAACCATTTTAATTTGTTAAATTTTGTATTTTTTACTAATTTCAAACTTTTTGTTTCTCTTAGGACGCTATTTGGTTGTATGTCCAAATTTGAGATTGGTTCGTTCAGGTTCATCCCATTGATCGATAGTCAATTTCTGAGTTGCCATTTTACAACATAGATTAACCACGCATAAGCAATTCGACTTACCCTTGCTGTAAGGACTCCTCGGACGGTAATCCCAACCATGGGTGCGAATCTGACCTCAACCCCAGGATCCACGACGAGTTCACCCTCTCTTTCTATCACCAAATCACCCCTCAATATGAAAGGACTCAATGACTTTTCCAGTCGCTGCTTCCTTGTGATGAACCCTTGCGAGATCTCCGTGCCACTCCCCGGAGGATCAGTGGAGTATTGGTACCAGCTAGGGTTAGCATCGGGAACACTCACAGAATCACAAGTCACTTCACAAACACACAAGAAAAATAAAATCCCACTTAACGTCCTCCAGCGTCTTTCCAACGATTTGTTTCTTCTAACCGTGATTTGGTTTCTATTTGGTGTAAACCCGAATTCCATTGTTAGGTTGTGTAATCCAAAACCAAGTGGTGAATGAAATGGTAAACCTATCTTGATGTGTGAAGGTTACATTCTCACCTGAGGCTGGAGATTTTACAGGTATTCAAAACAAACAAATGCTGCGGTGGAACAAATACCATAACTGATTTTTATAAACACTGCACTAAACAACTCACTCCCGTATTAACACAACCCCCCTTCAAGAATGATACGAATAACTTCGCTCGCACAACGCACAGGTAATTCCACGGACCAGACTACCGTCGGCCGTCGCCACGACAGTTTCGAAACAATGCTAACGCCCCTTCCACTATCCGTCCATTCCACCTCCAGTCAAGTCGCGACTCCCACCACTACCTTCCAACGGACGGTTGAAAGTAAAACAAAACGAGTTCTGGGCGGGTCACGTGACTTGGTCACGCACAGGTAACAAACGTACCAACCTCACCTGTGCAGCGCGAATGTTGGTTACACTGCTACCATGGCAACCAGAAACAAAGGCGTCAGCTGATATATGACAACAATGAACAGCTGTTGGTTCGATAGCGCGTTCTAGTTGATTGTTGCATGAACGCTATATATGATATCTTATGGAAGATTTTGAATTACTAATTGTGAAAAATCTGTAATCATATTTAGTTAACTATGAACATGTGTTTATTTGAATTCTGCAAAAAAGAAATAAAAGGGGAAATCGTTTAGGTAACCTTTAGTGCTAGGAACACTGTTGTCATGGCAACGGACGGAAACAAAGGCATAAGCTGATTTATGGAAACAATTAACAGCTGTTGGTTCAATAGTGCTTTTGGTTTATTGTTGCGTGGGTCTTGCAATTTGTTGAATGGAATATTTATTTGTGCAACTAGGGGGCGAAGTTTAGGAAGTTTACACGTGTTACACATTATATGTTTCCTACAGTTATTATAAAGCATATAAAAATAATAAGTCTTTCAAACACTGCACAACCTGTTTTTAGGTTAGGTTAGATCCAAACATTGAAGGAAATGGAAAACGCTGCACCAGCTGATCGTAGTCGAACAGTTAAGTGTTGCCAACATAATCCAAGCACAGGGATTGAGGGATTACGTGCATAAAAGCAAGCCCTGTGTGGAATACTGGTGTTTGGCAAAAGTAAGTAAATGCAGCAATAAGCAACCTTCTGTACTATAATCGGTGCAAGGAAGCCTACTTTGTCGGGTGACTGTAGGAAAAATAATATTGTTGGGCGAAGCTCTTTGGGATCAACTTCAATAATGCAAACTTTCTAACACATAAACTCAATGAAGGCTGAACATATTTTAGCCAAACTTACCAAGGTTGTTTTTGTCAAATGTTTGGACGGTTTGGACGAAACCAATTTAAATGTTTGATAATGGCTATATAATTTAAAAGTAACTCAAAGTTTTTAAATTTTAACATTAGCCTTCTTATGGGTTGCCATGATTGTTACAGAATTACGTAAATGTAAACAAACAAAGAATCATAGCATGTTAAAATCAAGCCACTAAAACCATTATTGCAACGGATTATTGCATTAACTGTCCATGATTATTAATTGTCTACATTGTATAGTCTCCGTTGGTAGCACATCCACACACACACATATACCACTTCAAAAACTACTTTTTGGATTCAGAGAGACCCAAAACGCATGTTCCCACCCAAAACTCAAACTCAAAGATTTGGACAAAAACAATACTTTACCATATACTATGTGTAGGGGGAGAAAGTAAAACAGTTGTGTCCAATTTAGGGCCCTTTTATGCACTGCGGCTATGGTTTTTATCGCGCAGCAAAAGACATGTGGCTGCGAAATTTGCATGCGGTTTGGAACTTGCCGGGCCGCAGGTTTTTATATCAACTGTGGTGGGGAGGAAAGTGCTGCCAACATTAATTTCACTAGTCAGTCCTGTAGCAGTGACTGGGGTGGGTTGGTACCACTGACAGAGGTTGCGGCCCGCGCCGCAGTGCATAAAAGCTCCCATACGACCCAATGTATCCACAGCCGCAAAAAAGCTGCGTTTCCTAGGTCCACTGGACTTGCGGGCCGCAACTATTGTGCGGGCTGCACCAAAGTGAATAAAAGCACCCATTTTTAAGTCAATGTACTTAGAGAACCGCACTGCGGCAGGTGCAGGTGCATAAAATGGGCCTTATGTGGTCTCCTTATCCAAGTTGACTATGTGGAATAAATTTCAAAACATGGGTCAGGTAAAATGACACACACTTTTTCTATCAAGGCTAACAGGCCAGAGAGATGATATTTTCCAATAAAAACACAAAAATGATAGTATTTTTCTTCTTTCTAAAACAGGCAGACAACTTTTAAATTTATTGCTTGGAAAAAATCTTAAATTTTCAATCCTCAAGAAACAAAATCAAAAGGCAAAAGGTAGTTAATAATACATTTAATTAAATATACTGTAACAGTCATACAGTGAAAAAATATAAATAAAATAATGATGATTACACTATGTAAGGGCTGAAAAATCAGATGAAAACCTTCCAAACTTAATCACTAAATCACTTAATGTTTTGTAGAAGATATACAATTATATGTATAAAAAATATATAAAGAATTAAAACATTTCAGTATTGAAAAAAAAACATCCTGAGGATACAGTAGAACCCCGCTAATTTTACCTCGGCTAGTCCTCCCTTATTCTGACTGGGCCATACCATCGTCTATCAGAGACAATGTAATCACTGTGAAATTGTGACAGTAATTTGCTATAGACGTGTGGAGGTCATCACCTACAATTGCAGCAAAATCGTGTTCATCCCCCCGTGATTACGGAAAAGTCTTCATCGTTTTCTGCCATCATGGAAACATTTATTGTCATCCTTCGCAAACCTGGGAAAATATTTAACATGTCCACAGAGACATATTTTTATCGTCTTCCGTTTATATGGAAAAATCCCACTGTTGTGAAAAATCATCTTCTTCTTCGGCGACTGCGGCAAAAGGCTGAACTAAACCAGAGCTTTCCACGCGGTCGTGTGGATATGATAATCTTCTTCAGAGATCGCGGAAAAATAATTAAAATCTCCTGAACTCCCAAGGACATCATCGTCTCCTTTCGATCCTAGGAAAATACTAAACTTCTTCTGCGATCAAGAGAACAATATCATTGTCTTCCGCGATCGCACACTATCAATAAATTTCAGTTAAGCAATTAATTTGGTAAATTAAATTAATACACTCCTCCAATAATCCAACCATTTCACTGTTTGGTGCCGGTCTCGTAGGTGACGGATTGGCGGGGTTGTACTGTATTTGTAAAAAAAATCTGTGTATATCAGTCAGTAATTGTTTATTAAAAGTACTATACCATCACAAGTAATTTAAGCAGCAACTACATTAAACTATAGACTTAAATAATATCCACCCATTTATCAACACTGGTAATGTAACAATCAGGCTAAGAAGAAACTGTGTGCTTTAATCTCCAAAATAATGTCAACAACCTTTTGAAAACACTGTTACAACAGAGGAAAATATTTAACTATATGTAAAAATATTTTATGTTACCTACCTTACCCGTAAAGTATTCATGCGTTCTCAGAGTATTACAAAACCGTAGAAAAATATTTATAAAACTTGAGAAAGGCCTTTTCCAAACTCTTCACTTATCACTCTTTAAATAAAAGCGTTCACAGTGTTTATTGGTACATTGATACGATATGTAGGTATATGTAATAAGATAACTTTTTTTTAAATAACCATGTTTTAACACAATACAGAAATTTTTCATGGATATTTTGGAAATTATTTAAATAATTCTTTCTGAAGCCAATTTTTTGAATTGAAACCTCTTTTATGCATTATCACACTTCATTTACTTTTGTACTTACACCAATGAATTATTGTAACACTAATGACCAGCCCTGTACGTCTTTAACTAAGGAAAAATAATTTTGGTATAAAAATAATTTAATGATAATGAAGGTCCATTTTAAAATAGTCAGATTCCATTTCGTGATCAATAAAATTCAAAACCAAACATTTGATAGAACAAACTGCAAGCCTTTATAAGAACTGAAAGTAAAATAACAATTATCTTAAAATATGTACGAAACATCCATTAGAAATTTATGGGGGAGAGTTTTAATTTGAATATATCTTCCAAACGAAAAAAGATATTTCAAAACGGTTTTCGGCATTGAAATCAGTGTGAAAATTTAGTTTATAATGATGTGTAACATTACCATCATTTCATTTAAAAAATTGTATTAATATCCAATATGGCGGATCCAAGATGGCGGCTAAAAACACCAGCTAGGCCACACTTTCAGTCAAATCACCCGGTAGTACACGATTCTACTTGTCATTACCTATCTATGGCTACCAATCATACAGTTGCTTCATTCAAAATCCCATAAAATTACATATGTCCCACAACTACCATGCGTTGAATGTTGAAAGTAAATCATCAATTTTTAAACTATCTGCATTTAGTAAAATAAAAAATCTTATAACAGAAACTGGATACAATAGGCTACTATATGGGCTACATAGGCTACTAAACCAAAAGTTCAGGTAATAGACAACATTAGTTAACAATCTTAAACCTTTTCAACATTCATTCAACAGTTTTTAACAAGTTAAAACCTAAATACTAAGTTATAAAATATAAAACAAGTATTATAAATAATCATACATTAAAATATTCAAATATATAGATAGGTTAAACATATAAATAAATATTAATACATGATAATAAGGCATTATGGCTATTTCGTAATGAAAAGTAAAGTACGATCATTGACTAAATAGTCAAAGGTACGATTAAAAATCAATCAAATAACTCTCGTGCTGTTTACCTAAAAAATTATTAACATAAATTACATACATAATACAGTACACCATTAAAAAAAGTTCAAACCTAAAAAAAAAACCAAGTTACCTTGTTTCATAACATAAATTTGGCATCAGATTTGAGCATTAACATTTACATTTAGACATTGGCCGCTAGTTTGACATCTTCACAGAAAAATACTGTTCTTCAATATGTCTTATTACAGACGTATGTAAAACTATCAGTTAGGTTTGTTTCCTTTTTGTAACTGCAAGAGTTGTACTCTGTACTGGGCCTTACAGATAAATATATATTAATAAATCAAATGTATGGCCTCTAAAGCTGAATTTCAGCTATTCCTCACACAAAATGTCACCAAACTTATCAAATAAGAATATAAAAATATCAACATATGGTTACAAAAAGTTCATAGACAACAAATATTATTAAAAATATATATAAGTTGTG